ATGGCGACGATGGCGACGATGCTTTCAGCGCAGCGATCAGAGGAGGATCACGACCTCCTGGTTCGAAGCACCAAGAAGACCAAGCGTGATGCGGGATCAGGCCTGGCCGGTGCAATGCCGGACTTGGTACTGGAGACACCGATGGAGATGATCGAAGGGTACACAGCGCTGGTTGAGGCTCCAAGGAGACAGCCACCGCCGATCTCGTTTAGAGATCTTGTGGCAGGGGCGTCGCATCCGACCTCCGATGAGGATGATGATGACCTGTTCTCTGATGGAGAAGATGCGGAGGAGGACGAGGATCCTCTGTGCCCGGTTATCCGGCTTACCAACAGAGAGAAAGAGGAGCTCCGGCGTCCGTGGCGGAATGCGTTGATTCTCAAAGTTTGGGGCAAACGGGTTGGATATTCATATCTGTACCGGCGGTTGAACACACTGTGGAGGCCTAAGGGCAGCATGGACCTCGTGGCAATTGATAACGACTATTTTCTGGTGAGGTTTGGTTCAAACGATGATCTGGAATATGCGAAATTCGGAGGCCCCTGGATGATCCTTGATCACTATTTGATCGTGAAGGAGTGGACTCCAGACTTTGATCCGGTCACAGACAAAACGGAGAAGGTCCTGGTATGGATACGATTCCCTTGTCTCCCAATTGAATACTACAGGACTTCTTTTTTGCAGAAAATTAGGAGGAAGATCGGACGACCAATCCGCGTTGATCAGGCCACGAGCCAGGTGTCTAGGGGAAGATTCGCACACATGTGTGTCGAGATTGACCTCTCCAAGCCACTGATTTCCAAGTTCAGGCTGAGGAGAAGAACACGCTACATTTCCTACGAAGGAATTCATCTAGTTTGCTTCAACTGCGGAATGTACGGCCATAGTCTTGAAACATGCCCGGACGGAAATAAGGTGGCCGTTGTCGGTGATGATCCAGAACAAACCGATAAGGCTCCTGGCGAGAAGCCACCTGGGACGACAGCGGAGACAGCTAATCAAAGAACATCAGTGGCGGAGGAAAAGGCGCCGTTTGGGTCGTGGATGATAGTGAAGAAGACGGACAGACGCCCAGGTCGAAGATCAGGGCCTACCCGCGGCAACTCTCAGGTGGCGGACCACACAGCCCAATCGCGATCGCGCTTCCTTCCCCTTGTCGCCCCAGAAGCGGAGATCCAGGGGGACGCTGAAAAACAGACAGACATGACCGGGGATAGCGCGCGTCAAGCGGAGGACCTCCGAGTAAATGCCGCCCCACAGCAGGCTAAGGAGAAACGCATGCCGGCGGAGCTTCGCAAGAATGGGGAAGGGCAGTCTGGAGCTAAAGTGCGAAACCAGAGAAGACCGAATGTTGTTGCTAATGAGAAGCAGGTCACGAACCAGCCAGGGGCAAAGCAGCCAACGACGGCGGCAGTGGAATCAAGGCAGGAATCACGTGGTGCGTTACGAGTTGGGGCGAGGCGAGCAGCCGAGGAGGATGAGCATGTAGTGGTGAGAGGGGAACAGGGTGGCGCGATTATCCAAACCGAACGTATCTATTCCGAGCAGATGATTAGCGCAAGCCCCATGCAAGCGCTGGAAGATGTGGGGGAGCACCACAATGACAAGCCTTACCACCTAGATGACGACGGGGATGAAATGATGGCGGATGAAGGTGATCCGGGAGGACCTAAGGCCAAGGGGGCAGCATCTTGAGTCCGCGATTGTGCTCCCAGTTTTTTTTTTTTAGTTTTTGTTATTTCCTGGTTTTTCTTGGTTTTTGCTCTTCTACTTTGTTTTAATGATCAGTCTCATTTGGAATTGCCAGGGCGCCGGCGGGAGGGATTTCCACCTCGTCCTCAAACTTCTGCTCAAGTCTCACCGGCCTAGTCTACTAGGACTGGTTGAACCGAGAGTCTCTGGGGATCAAGCGAATTCCTTTTGCTCTAAGCTTGGATATGAAGATTAGGTTCGGGTTGAAGCTGTGGGCTTTAGTGGGGGAATTTGGGTGTTCTGGAATAAACCGCTCGAGGTTAAGGTTGAATTCACTCACCCCCAATTTATTTTGTTGCAGGTTACGGAGACCGGAGAGGCACCGTGGTCTTTAGCAGTTGTGTATGGCAGTCCGACTCACCACCTACGGCGACGGCTCTGGAGTGAGTTACGGGCTCACAAGCGGGGCATTAGTGGACCTTGGCTTTTGGCAGGGGACTTCAATGCTGTCACAAGCGAGGGAGAAACTTGCAACTACTCTGCGTATTCCTCTCAGCGAAGTTCCGATTTCGTGGAGTGGATTCATAGTGAAGGTCTTATTGACATGGGCTATAGCGAAGACCGGCTGACATGGATGCGGGGGTCGGAGAATGGGCTAGCTAAAGGGGCGAGGCTCGACAGGGCCTTATGTAGTGTGGACTGGAGGCAGCGCTTCTCGGAAGCTTCAGTCCGTCACTTGCCACGAGTCTCGTCGGATCACGCACCAATTTTAATTCAGACAGAGGGGAAGATAGTTGGAGGCGCGGGGGGGGGGGGGGGGCAGTTTCGCTTCCATGCAGCGTGGCTAACCAATGAGTCGGTTGATGAGGCCATTCGGCGGTCGTGGAACTCCAGCACCGATTGGCAATCCAACATCCAAAGGGCCCAAGATGGGTTAACGTCGTGGAGCAGGGAGGCTTTTGGCAGTGTTGAGGGCCGGAAAAAGATTCTTTTGGCTAGGATAGGGGGCATTCAGAGACAACAAGATTTCTCCTATCACAACGGGCTCCGGCAGTTGGAAAAGAAGCTAAGACAGGAACTAGACGAGGTGCTCTACCAAGAGGAGCTTATGTGGTTCCAACGGTCTAGAGAGGAGTGGATTGTGTCGGGAGACAGGAACACAAGATACTACCACACAGCAACAATGGTCCGAAAGGCGAGAAACAAAGTGCTGAGTTTAAAGGACGACAACGGCAACTGGATCACTGAGGATATACTTTTGGGGCGGCACGTCCAAGATTTTTACGCACATCTCTTTCGAGCGGAGGGCGAGGGGGACATGATGGCGGCGATCCGTGGCCGGTTTCCTAGGCTAGAGCAGAGGGACTGGCGGATTTTCAATAGAAGTGTGACCAAGGAAGAATTTCGTAAAGCTGTCTTCGACATGAGCCCCTGGAAGGCGCCGGGCCCCGATGGCCTACATGCAGCATTCTATCAGCATGCGTGGGACGTTGTGGGGGACTCTAAATTTGAACTAGTCAGGGATGCGTTCACGACAGGGAGAATTCCGGAGGGGGTAAATGATACTCTGCTAGTCCTGATTCCAAAGGTCACGACACCGGAAACCGTGAAACAGTTCAGGCCTATCAGCTTGTGCAATGTGTCTTATAAAGTGATCACTAAGACGATAACCAATAGGCTCAAATTTATCCTTCTGAAGATTATTGGGCCGTTCCAGAGCTCCTTTGTCCCGGGACGGCAAATCACGGATAACATCTTGGTGTATCAAGAAGTCATGCACTCTATGCGTATCAAGAAAGGAAAATCTAGGATCATGGCCATTAAGATTGACCTAGAGAAAGCTTATGATAGATTATCTTGGGATTTTATTAACGATACTCTTTGTGATGCAGGGTTCAATAATGACTGGACACGGATTATCATGGAGTGCGTCCGATCTGCCAACATGCAAATCTTATGGAATGGGACGAGGATGGAAAGTTTTAAGCCAGGACGGGGAATCAGGCAAGGAGATGCCAGGTCACCGGCGTTGTTCGTTCTGTGCATGGAGCGGCTTAGTCAGAGCATTTCGCAGGAAGTTAGCCGGGGTACGTGGAAGGGCATCCAGCTGTTTGCCTCGGGCCCGACTCTCTCGCACCTTTGCTTTGCGGACGACATGGTGCTTTTCACTGAAGCATCTATGGAGCAGGTGGCGGTCATCAGGCGCTGTTTTGATCACTTTTGTGAGGCATCCGGGCAACGACTCAGCTTGGGAAAGTCACAGGTGTTCTTTTCCAAAAACACCCCGTCTGAGCTTAAAGAGGCCATTTCTCTGGAATTAAGGATACCGAGCACCACGGACCTTGGACGGTATTTGGGCGTACCCTCTTTGCATGGCCGAGTAACGAGTGCTACTTTCTCGGGTTTGCTAGACCGTGTGAGGGGTAGGCTTGACGGATGGAGAAGCAAAACATTATCTCTTGCTGGGCGAATTACACTGGCCAAGGCTGCGCTTCTGCCCAAGGAAGTTTGCCTCAAGATTGAAGCCATGGTCAGATTCTTCATTTGGGGTGGAGTCGGCGACGCAAGAAAGCCTAGCTTGGTAAGCTGGGACGTTGTCACGAAATGCAAGCAGGAGGGTGGACTGGGAATTCGGCGAATGCAGGACGTCAACACAGCCTTCTTGGCCAAGTTGGGGTGGCGTATGAGGACTGAGCAAGACAGACTCTGGATTAGAGTCTTGATGGCGAAGTACCCGGCAATGAATAGTCGAGAGCTGAGGGATCTCAAGAGGCCATCATCGAACGCGTGGAAAGGGATTTGTGCCACGTCGAGCTTCGTGGAGCAGGGGTTGAAAAGGGTTGTTCGCAACGGTCAAGAGACTCAGTTCTGGATGGACAACTGGATCCATGGAGGCCGACTTTACGAGCACATGAAGAGACCGATCAGCCTCCCAGAGCTTTACAGTACAGTTGCAGATTACTGGGAATATGGAAGGGGATGGAAGTGGGAGCGTTTTGACGATATTCTAGACGACAACTGGAAGGCAAAGATCCATGCGTTCTCAGTGCTAGAAGATGCTGATGCTAGAGATGAGTGGGGATGGGGTCTCGAGATTCACTATCAGCTCAGCGTATAGGGCCTTATAATCGCCAAGCACTTCTCCGGTGGACGGGGATTGGGATATCATCTGGAAGCTTCGTGTCCCCAGCAAAATTAATCACTTTCTGTGGTTGGTGAAACTAGGGAAGGTGATGACGAACGTTGAGAGATGTAAGAGACATTTCACGACTGATATGATGTGTACGTCCTGTGCAGGTACGCCGGAGACGATCGGCCATATTCTCAAGGACTGCATGGAGGTAACAGGGCTCTGGGAAGCGCTCATGCCCCAGACGGCAATTCAGGTGCTGCGTACGAAGAGCTGGTTGGATTGGTTCTCCATGAATTTAAGGGCAGACCGGGCCTTGGGCTTTGATGAGGATTGGAGGATTACTTTTAGTGTTGGCCTGTGGTGGTGCTGGCGATGGAGGAACAGCAGAATCTTCGAGAGCACCAAGCCCAGCCTGGCGCAGCGAGTGGCGGTGATAATTGGCCAAAGGGATGCGATTCTGGAAGCGTTCTGGAAGAAAAGACCGGCGAGGGTCGGGGCGGGCGTTGAAGAGAGAAAGTGGCTCAAACCGGACGTGGGCTGGGTCAAGCTTAACGTAGATGGTTGTAGTAAAGGGGCGATGATGAAAGCAGGGTGCGGAGGGGTCATTCGCGATCACAGAGGGCGATGGGTTTGCGGGTTCACGTGCAATATAGGATCGTGCTCGGCCGAGGAGGCAGAGGGTTGGGCGGTGCTTCAAGGTCTCCGCTTGGCGGCTGCCTGGGGAGCTGCAAATTTAGTTGTCGAAAGCGATGCCTTGGGGGTCATCAACCAGTTGAGAACGCGCGAGATGAGGGTGGCGAGTAATGTCCTGAGAATGTGTGATCGGGAGTGTGGCAGGTTCCCAAATCTGGAGTTTAGGCACGTGAGGCGCAAGCAAAACAGAGTGGCAGACCGCCTTGCTGCGGTCGCCTTTTCTCATGAACTAGGAGGCCGAGTCATCGTCGGTATGCCCACCTTCGTGGAAGACGTTATGTGGGAAGACAGTGTTGGAGCCAGAGTCGCTCGCAGTGACATCAGATAGTTTTGCTCAGGGTTCATCCCTCCTTTTATCCAAAAAAAAAAATTATTATTATTATTATTGTTATTGTTATTGTTATTGTTATTGTTATTGTTATTGTTATTGTTATTGTTATTGTTATTGGTATTGTTATTGTTATTGTTATTGTTATTGTTATTGTTATTGTTATTGTTATTAATAATAATAATAATAATAATAATAATAATAATAATAATAATAACAGTGGGTAATAATATTATTATTAGGTTTAACGGATTCACAGATCCCTATCAAGATGATTAGGATGTTATCAAGTTTTGATAGTAATTTTGGATTTTGAGGTAAGATCTTATGTTCATCAAAATTATTTATTTTTTTAGTGTAAACCACACATTGTGGTCCAGGTCTTTCTTTGTCCGTTTAACGGTTCAGAAGCTAGCTCAAAGGGAATCGTCACTTGTGAAAATTGAACTCGGGTTATCCCAAAATTCTTCCCCACAAAAAGAGCTCATTTGCCACTTGAGCTACCCTATTGGGTTTATCAAAATTATTTATTTAACCCAAAGTATATAAATATTTCTATGATGTGTGATTATGATATCTATACATATATAATTATTTGCCAAAATAAGTGATTATGTGATAAGTGTTTATATATAGCAAATTTGTTTTTGAAGGGAATATATAGCAAAATTTATTTGCTCAAAAATATATTTCTATGAAATATGTGGGGTATTATATGAATTATGATATTATGATGATCACATGTGAAATTTATCGATAAATTGTATTATTGTGACTAACGATTCTCGAGATATCGAAAATGGGTTCGACGTGTCGAGCTCGTGTGTTGAGTAAAAGTGTGAGAATTTTTGGTGTTACATACATATTAGTATGGTGAAATTGTATTAACACTAGACTATGGACTAGAATTACTTTGGACAAATTATGTGGAGAAAATTGTATTTTTTTTTTTTTGAGGAAATGTATTTGTAGAAATTATATATTTTTGACAAAAGTATATTTTGCAAATAATAAAAAATTATTTTTGGAGAAAAAATATCTATATGTGGAGAAATAATGTATTTTAGAGAAACCAAGATATTGTGAATGTTCAGTAAGAGAGATTACTATTCACATAGGCCAATTACTACTCACTGGGCTTGGAATCCCATGAGGGTGTATTATCACATAGGTTATGATACAGTTTTCATTATCTTGCTTGAGTGGAGAAGGAAGTCCTTCTGACTACTTGGGTCATATACTACCCAGTAGCTTGGAATCCAGTCGTTAAGTAAAGAAACGGCCCGCCGTTATATATATATATATATATATATATATATATATATATATATATATATATATATATATATATATATATATATATATATATATATATATATATATATATATATATATATATATATATATATATATATATATATATAGTTAACGGAGTTCGCTTGTTTGGTGTATTAAACACCAACTGACACTACAGTATATCTAAACCGACACTGCAGTTATATCAAAATGATACTGTAGTTATAGTGAAATGAAACTGCAGTGTATATAAAATGAAACTGAATAAAATTTCACATATTTGAGTGTATATTGTACAATGAAGCTGTAATTATATCAAAATGATCATGTAGTTGTGTTTTAATGAAACTATAGTGTATATAAAATAAAATTAAATAACATTTTTACATATTTGAGTCTATAAATATCGAATGAAATTATAGTTATATCGAAATGAAACTGTAGTTGTGTTGGACTGAAACTGCAGTGTGTACAAAATGATATTGAAGAACAGGGTCACATTTTGCAAAAGGGTGCGAAACGGCGAAAAACAAACACTGTTTATTTTCATTTAAAAAAAAAAAAAAGACGCGCGGTGCATGATCAATCATGCACCGTGATGCATGATATAATTTGCCCTTGGAATCTGCTGGGGTGTGCACATAGATTTTGGTTCAATTTCCAAATGGATTTCAAAAAGGTTTATTACTTCTTCACACATAAATATTAATTCTCTATATTTTTTTGAAAACATATTAATTCTCTATATGTTTGCACGAAATTTGATTTTTAAAAGTATATCTCCACATATATTTTGGAAAGAGTATATGAGGTTTCAAATTATATAAATCCAAGCTTATATTTTTCGGGATGAGGTGAAGTGTACTTAGCATATGCTAATTTTGGATATACCATGTTTTTGTGTGAAATGATTTTTACAAGTGAACATGAATAGAAATTTAGATGAATAAGGATTCAAGTTGAGAAGGAGTTTTTATCTAGAGTAGATACCTTGATCAATTGTTATATTTTGAGGAATTTACGGTTTTAATATTGTTATCCCTCTTATTGTATTAAGTTGAATGTTGGTTAATTTATTGTAAGTTGGAAATCTTAGCCTTAGTGTTTGGGTATAGAGAAATACCTGAGAGTGGCGATAACACCCATTTCTTTTTGGTTAGTAAATGTTTCCGCTATGTTACTAGTGAGTTTTTAATTGAGAAAGAAAAATATTGTAAGGAAAATTTGGATATAGAAATTGGTGTGTTACACTTTCTAATGAAAGTATTACCGACATGGAAGCGCGATTGATCAAGATCTTAGGAGAGATCAATGATTTGGGTAAAACCATCACCCAGAAGGAAATATATCTCAAAGTGCTATGTGGATTACCTTCAAGCTAGGATATTAAGGTGATCGCAATGCGAGATCATAGAGATCTAAGAATGCTATCTACAGACGCGTATGAATTCGAGATGAAGACAAGAATCGAAGATGAACGAGATGAAAGAACTTCTGCTTTAATGGCCGAACAACCGTCTACATCCATATCAGTAAGAAATAGTGATTTTTTATCTGATGAACAATTTGCATTATTTGTCAGGAAAGTTAAGAAGTTCATGAAGAGAAACAACGTCAAGAATTCACCACAAGCAAGCTCATCTAGAAGACTAAGAAAAGAACCTCTTGCATATAACACAAATGTGTGCTATAATTGTAGAAAGCCAGGAAATTTTATGGTAGAATGTCCTTACCCCAACGTAAGCAAATATTTGAATGTATCTAACCCTTCTCAGGAAGAATACGAATCCATAGAGAAAAGATTCAAGAAGGGTGTGTCATTGGGTTGAGGCTAAATGAATGTGGACGGGGTGTGTGGAATCGGGAGAGGAGGTATAATGGGGAGGGGGGGGGGGGGGGGGGGAAACGGAGGCTATTCGACTCTGTAAGGGGGCAATGGGGAGGTTAAGGGAGAGGAGGGATGCTGAGAATATCCGACAGTTTGGGGACTGTCAACGCCGTTACTTAGATATTCTACGGCATTAGAGTGATAGATAGAAGCAAAGAGCGAAGGAGTTGTGGTACAAGGGGGGGGGGGGGGGGTGGATAGTAAATCGAGATTCTTCCATAATTCTGTGAATAGAAGGAGGAGGCAGAACCGAATTCAGGCTTTACGAAATGCGGCGGGGGAGCTTATGGGAGATAAGCAGCAGATGGGCAGAATTATGGTGGACTATTTTTCCACTTTGTTTACTTCTGCCGAGGGGGACTCACGACCGGTCTTGGACTCTTTGGACAGTCGAATTACTTATGTCCAGAAAGCTATGCTGCTACGGGCACTACTGGAAATTATTGAATTTCGGACCACTTGAAAGTGATCTTAAATCAAGTTGAAAGCAAAAAGTGGTCGGAAATAGCAACAAGGGTTTTTCCGGATACCAAAAGTGGTCGGAACAAGGCTTTTGACTTGATTGAAGATCATTTTCAGGTGGTCGGAAATTTCAGAATTTCCAGTAGTGGGGAGGTCACAACGGAGGAAGTAAAGGAGGCACTGTTCGCGATGCACTCGGACAAATCCCCGGGGCCAGATGGACTCTCTCTAGATTTTTTCCAGACTTATTGGTCTATCATTGGATCATAGGTAGTCTCTTTCTGTCGTCTTTTTATAGTTTCTGGAACGCTGCCTGAGCACATTAACAATACGCATATTGTTTTGATTCCAAACTGTAAATCCCCCGAGTTAATGTTTGATTTTCGGCCCATTTCGTTATGTAATGTGGTGTATCGAATATTTGCAAAAGTCTTGGCAAATAGGTTGCGCGTGTTGTTAGATTCCATTATATCTCCTGCCCAGAGTGCGTTTATCCCGGGTCGGTTTATAGTGGACAATGTTCTTATTGCTTTTGAGTCAACCCATTGTTTAAAACGTCAACCTGGTGACAGGGTGGTTTTGGGGAGTTAAAAGTGGATATGAGTAAAGCCTATGATCGGGTAAAGTTTTTTGTGTAAAGTTTTATTGAATATAGATTTTAGTGATTATTAGGTGAGGTTGATGAGGGAGTGTGTAACCACTGTACGTTAGTCGATTCTGGTTGAAGGCAAGGAATGGGGCTCGGTGGTACCGGGTAGGGGTTTAAGGTAGGAGGATCATTTATCTCCTTGCTTATTTATTCTGGTTGCGGAGTGCCTTAGTGCTATGTAAAGGGTTCGGGTGGAGGGGGTCTTACATGGGTTGAGGGGGGTGAGAGGAGCTCCAGCTATCTCCCACTTTTTTTTTTTTATTTATTTATTTATTTTTTTTTTTTTTGCAGATGACTGTCTTTTCTTTTTTCGGGCAAATATTTTTAAGGTAGGGGTTATTAGTGATGTTTTGAAAGATTATGGGAGTGCGAGTGGTCAAGAAGTAAATATGGAGAAAACTTCGATTGTTTTTGGTAGAAATGTGCATTGGGAGGATAAGGAGGCTGTTTGTGAGACGTTGGGATTCACGAACAGCAGTGTCAGAGAAAATACTTGGGGTTACCGGGTTATGTTGGTAGGAAGACGAGAGAGATTTTGGGGTTTATTCGGGATAAAATTAGGGCAAGAGTGATGCAATGGGGTAACCGGTTCTTATATAGGGGGAAGGGAGATTCTTCTAAAAAAAGTCTTCCAGAGTATACCAAATTATGCGATGAATGTGTTTCTCCTTCCTATTGGGTTGAGTGATGAGATTGAGAGAATTATGATCTCGTTCTGGTGGGGGTGCGAGAAAAGGGAGATAGAGGGAATAAGGTGGAGTAAGTGGAGTGATTTGTGTGTACCGAAGAAATTTGGGGGTATGGATTTTCGTAGAATTCGTGAGATGAATCTTGCTATGTTGGAAAAGTAGGGGTGGAATTTCCTAACTAAACCTGATGCTTTGATTACAAAGGTCTTTAAAGCGAGATATTTTCCCAAATGTTCTTTTCTAGAGGCAAAGATGGGTTCAAATCCCTCTTTTGTGTGGTCTAGTATTCGGGAAACTCAGAATTTGTTGAGTATGGGGGTAAGGTGGAGGATTGGGAATGGGGAGTTGACTAGAATCTGGGGTGACCCTTGGCTTCCTGATGAGACGAATCCCTATATTGATACTCCGGTGCAAGCCTATTTGGGTAACCCTTATGTGAGCTCCATTTTATGCGTGAATTCAAATAATTGGGACCTTGAGGTGTTGAGAGATATTTTTTGTGAGCGTGATGTGAACCTTATTCTGAGTGTGCCTATTCCTTCCGGGAGTGGTCGTGATTCTTTGTATTGGAGTAGGGAGATTAATGGAATTTATTCAGTTAGTAGTGCTTATAGGCTTGTTACAGGAGATGTAGGGCATGGTGAGGGGGTAGTCTAGAGGGGTTTATGGCATTTGAGAATACCACCAAAAGTTAAATGTTTCTTCTGGAATTTGTGCACTTTTCGTCTCCCCACAAAGGATGTTTTATTGATTAAACCTGTCTCTTGTGACCCCATATGTGTGTTGTGTGGTAAGGCTAATGAAAGTATTGTACACCTTGTTGCCAATTGTGAATTTGCCCATAAATGTTGGTTTGTTCTAAATGCTGATTGGGCAATGTCTTATGTTGATTCTATTATTCTTTGGCTTGAGGAGATGTGGACCCTTCCATCGACTGTGATGCTTGAGGGGGTTGTGATGGTGGCTTGGGCTATTTGGGAAGCTCGTAATACTGTGGTCTGGAGCAGCAGTATTCGGACCATGTGAATATGGTGCAACATGCGCTCCTTTATGCTAGCAATTGGCGGCAGAGCCGGGGAAATGACGAACCTTCCATGCCCACTACCGTGTCGGATCACCAGAAGGCACACACTGCTCATCCTTCCCTTAGAGAGGTAAAGATTAATATTGATATAGCTATGGACCATGTTAACCACCAGATGGGTTTTGGGTGGGGTGTCTTTGATTGGGATGGTGCAATACTGGTAGGGCCTGCTCAGGGGCAAGGGCAGGCTAGGCCCTTGACCAGGGCCCATGGTTGGGGAGGGCTCCATCCTATCTTTTATATATATAGTATATATATTGAGTATAAGTAATTTATATACATATGTCTTATAATAAGGTGAATTAGCTTGGTTGGTAAGATACTTAAATTTTAACCTCATTTAACCAAAGGCCAGTTATCCAACCCTTCTCTTTACATTTTAGAATTACACAACTTTACTTCTTTGCTTATATTCTAATATATATCTTAAACATTTATTTTTATTGATTTTTTGTGTTTAATACGGAGTAGTATTTTTAATGTAGTTTTTAAATTTATAAATTTTTATATATTTATACTAAACATATTAGGAATTTTTTATATATTAAATATATAAATTTTTATATTAGATTTTTAATGCAGTTTCTAAATTTATAAATTTTTATATACTTATACTAAACATATTATGAAAAATTGAATTAAAAAAACTTCAATCAACTAATGTTAATCAAACAAGACACGTAAAAATAGGACGGAGGGGGTACGGTTATATAATATATTTTGAGATTGAATTATAAAAAAAATTAAAAGATAATTTACTCCGTACCTTTTTATGAATATCTAATCAATACTCCGTATAATATAGAAACTTCTATCATGTGTCATTGTATTCAAATTATTCTAAAAAAGTTTGAAATTTATCTACTTAAAAGAAAAAGTATTTATAAAAATCATATAAATAATATAGAAGATGTGTAATTTATAATATGCTTTATGTTCAAACTATTTTATCTAGATAATTATGTTTCATATTTTTTTGCGTTTTTTTATTGCGTTTTGAAATATTCCAATTTCTTGCTCCTAGTCAAAAAAGATTTTTAGCTTCACATATGTTTGTAATTATTGTTTTATAAATTTTTAATAATAATTAATTTATTATTTATTATGATAACAATGTTATTTTTTTATACGTTTACTCAATTTTAAATTATTTATTATTTATTTTTATAAATTATAATATTATTTATTTATGAAGGCACTTATATGATTATTTATTATTTTGCAATATGAAAGCACCTAGAATTTTTTTCATGATTATTGATGTGTATGTGATGGGGTAAGGACCCCGGCCCAAGAGATAGGGGCCCAAAGAAAATAAAAGTGGGCCAGCATCGAGAGAAGCCCAAAGAGCAGTCGGGTCGAGTCCAGGAGTCGGTCGAGGCCCAAGCCCAGGAAAGGACCCGGCTCGAGGAGCCGTTGAGGGCATTAAAGGCGTTCCTTTAAAAGAGAGCCGTTGAAGCATTGAAGACAGGACCCGGTCGGGCTGTTACCAACCTAAGAGAGCCGTTGGTCGACCGAGTAACAGCGTCCAACGGCTCCATATCTTGATTAGCCTTAAAGTCGGCCATTAAGGGCCATCAAGTCGGCAGAGGAGGAGCCACTATATAAAGGCTCCTCCATTCTTGTAAAAGGGAGACACTTTCGGACACCTGGAGGAGGGGAGAATAACAAAGAATTTCTGACACTAGAGTTAGACATAGATATTATTGAGAGGTGTATCCTCCGACCAAAGGTTGTGTTGGACCTCCTTGGGCCCAAAAACCCTAAAACCATCACTGGCGCCGTCCGTGGGGATCGAAACGAAGAGTCACGTGTCCTCTTGAGTGAGGCGAGTCCGAAGAAACAACAGTCGAATCAGGAAAACTCCAGACATGGCAGGAAGCGAGGAACAGTCGAGCCGTCACGACAACGGACGGGAGGCCGACCTGAGAAGCCAGCTGAATAGGAGAAATGCTCGGAGCCAAGAAAACGAGACGACACCGCCGCCGACGCCGCAGATAAACCCGCAATTACCTCAGGTGCTGCTCACCCCGGAGCAGTTACGCGCAATCGGGCGC